GAAGATTTTAGCATGGTGATGGATATGACAATGTTAATGTAGTTGGTCTTGGCGGAATAGATCTGCTACGCTGCTGCTGAATTGCTGCTGCTGTTGGTTATTGCTGTAGTTGTAGATTATTGCTGCTGCTGCAAGCAAGTACAGGAACTTGCTACTGCCAATGCATATGGCGATACAGTGACGCCCGTGAGTATTTAAGACATACTGCTGCTGCACAAATAGCATATAAAATAAAGCATAGCAGATCTACACAGGTGGAGCTGGGGAAGGTGAAGGCTTTCAGAGAAACTCTGAAAGCGCACTGCAAGAATCTCAAGTGAATGCTAGCCAGCCATATAAATGCAAGGCAGAAAGCTCATTGGCTGCATATGCAGTATGAACCAATCAGCTTGTGCCAAGTCATTTAACTCTCTGAATATCATCAGTTACGTTAACAACCCGTCTGCCTGCGCCATCTAGAGTTTCATGAATGAACTATTTATATAACAAATATATATATAGGTAATTAAGATGAGTTTCGAGTGAAATAAAAATCAAATTTTTCCAACCTGAGTGTTTACACTTAAGTCACGTGGCAAAAAGTCAAATACGTATCCAAATTATTTTCACATGTTAAAATGGTTAAAGTGTTGCATTATCAGGTTAACTATGCAGCAGTTTATAACCAGTAACAATGGCTGTAAGCCTTGATCTAACTGAGTGGAAGTTTATAAGAAAGAAAAGCCCCATCAAAAAGTAAAAGAAACAAAGTGAAAGTCATGTTAATACTGGGATAACTAATTGGTCTCAGGGTTAAATGGCAAAGTAAGCAAACTGCTGAGAAAATCCAGCTTTCAAAACTCCCATGCAGCTCAAGAACTAACTCGTTATATTGGGTTAGAAATAAATATAATGCATCTTCTAAGCATGGCACTACATTTGGATAGCAGTGGCGATTCTAGACCTCATATTTTACACTCTTTCAGTTTTAAAAACACAAAGTGAGTTTTAAATGCAGCCTAGTGAGTGCACTGTGTTGACCTGTACCCACTTTCCTCCAGCTCCATGTAATTTCCTTATCACAATCCACTTATTCTCCAAAAAACTTGATTATAAGAGTCGCCAAGGGCAACACGCCTCTTCAGGGGCTGCTGGGCTTTCACTTACTGGTGTAAAGCATCAGCCAGGACCATTGTTTAACAGAGCATCATCACTGACCCCAGCTATAATGGCTAGAATATGTTA